GCACGCCTTTAATCCCAGCATTCGGAAGGCAGAGGCAAGCAGATCTCTGTGAGTTCTAGGCCAGCCTGGTCTACAGATGGATGGAGTTCCAGGACAAACAATACAGAGAAAACCTGTCTCAAAAAAACCAAAAAAAAAAAAAAAAAAAAGAGTTGGGAGCCCTTGTGTGTGACTTTCCAGATGCTGGCATTGTAGGCGTGAGCCCACACCCCTGTCCCATGCTCTTTCCAAAGCTCACTGAAATTTCTGTTCCATTGTTTCCGAGGCCAGTCAGTGACCCGGAAAAAAAGCCTGCTTTAAATGGCTGACATGGACGAGGATGGGAAAAAGTATTCTTTCTCTAAATTCCCTGCACCTGGGAAGCCTACTTGCGGGGTGGAGCTGGGGTGAAAGACTTGGAAACAGCTGAGAGTTACTGACATTTGCCAGCTTCCCTACACTCTCTCCTGGCTGCTACAGTGTTCAGTGAGATAGTGGGGTTGCTGTGGGAGGTCCTTGAGACCCAGGGGGATGGATTCCAATGCTTCCTGACCCACCATCCGTTCAGTGTTGTTTAGTTTTGTTTGGGAGAGGATCTCAGGAAGCCCAGGCTGATCTGGGATTCCACTGTACGAGGGAATGACCTGACCTTGGACTCCCAATTCTCCTGCCTCTGTTTCCCAAACGTGAGGGTCACAGGCATGCACAACCATACTTAGCTCACACTTCTATATTACTATTATTATTGTTGTTGTTGTTGTGTGTTTTGGGGGGACAGGGTCTCGCTACACAGCCTGGCTGTCCTGAAACTTACTTTGTAAGATAGGCTGACCTTGAACCCACAGATTCTGCCTGCCTCTGCCTTCCAAGTACTGGCCTGAGCTACTACACCTAGCAACTTCAACAATTTGAGGTAAAGTATTTTTCTGTTGATTGAGAATTTCCAATACCAAGTCCTAGGTGGTCCTTTTTATTCTCCTCCCCCTGTTTTAGAGACCGGGACTTGCTCTGTAGCCCAGGCTGGTCATAAATGTTCAGTCCTCCTGTCTCGCATCGTAAATGTGGGATTACCGGCGTGTGTAGTGGTGGAGAGCACAGCTGGGCAGGGGAACTGTCTGCAGATTGGCAAGCACTCTACCAGCTGAGCCACAAGTCAAGGTTTCATCTAGTGGTTGAAGACTTTTGGTTTTTTCTATGATTTTCCTTGATATGAATATTTAAATGTTATTGCATTCATATTATTGTGTGCAGACACATGCATGCCACAGGACAAGTGTAGGGTCAAAGGACAATTTGCAGGAAGTCAGATTTCTCCTTCTACCATATAGGACTTAGGATCAAACCCAGGTCCTCAGGCTTGGCAGCAAGTGTCTTTACCCACTGAGCCATCTCACCAGTCCCTTTCCAGAGTTCTTAGCCTTTGTGAACTACCTGATTCCAAAGCCCACGTTCTTGGAATCTGCTGCAGCAGCACCTGATTCTTGGTATCTATGTTTTCCTGGTCTTTATTAGTTTTATAGTTTTCATCTGTCTTGCTGTGTAGCCCTGGCTGACCTCAAGCTCTTGGTCTTCCTACCTCAGTCTCCCAAAAACTGGGATTAGAGCGATGTGTAATTTTGCCCAGCTCATGTCCTCGCCGCTGTTCTGTTGCTGCTGCTGCAGTAACAGGTTGGCGCTGGGCAGAGGGGTGTAGATCAGTAGTGGAGTGTTTGCCTAGCCTGTGAAGCCCTGGGTTCAATATCTCACTGGATAAAACAACACAAATTTGTCATATCATGGTTTTGCTATCTCGCCATGCTATAGTCCACGTAGGTTCCATCGAGCTAAAATCAGAACCATGTTTTCCCCAGGAGCTGTAGGCAGTTATGCGTGCTCTTGCTTACTGAGGTTGGCACGTTTCAATCCTTAGTGACTGTAAGTTACCTTGCTGCCTGTTGCCCGATTGCCCCTGCTTCTGATACCTCCTGAATTCTTTGGCCCCCAGTACAGGAGAAAGGAACTCTCTTACTCTGCATTGCTCTGACTTCTGCCTGCCTCGCCTTTTTTTTTCTTTCCTTACATTAGACCTAGCAAAATTATCCAGTATAAACTCCCTAATTTAAGACCCACCACTCTAGCCGGGGGGTGGTGGCGCACGCCTTTAATCCCAGCACTCGGGAGGCAGAGGCAGGCGGATCTCTGTGAGTTCGAGGCCAGCCTGGTCTACAAAGTGAGTTCCAGGACAGCATACAAAGCCACAGAGAAACCCTGTCTCGAAAAACCAAAAAAAAAAAAAAAATAATAATAATAATAAAGACCCACCACTCTAAATTCATCTGTGAAATTCTTTCTGCCATATACTGCCTTAGGCATTAGGACATGGATGTCTTTGCGGGGCCGTTATTCTGCCTACCACACCCCCTCTAGGAGGCAGGAATCATGTGTGTCACTCCTTCCTGCCCTCCTCAGCACTTTCTTCCCCTTGAAATCAGAGTACCTCACATCACCTCACATCAGGCACGGGTTGAGATCTGTCCTGAGCGGAGTTTTCTCCCTCTCCTCCGACCACTCCACCCATCCCAGACCACGGCTGGCCAGTATTCCCTGCATCAGAGTAATGCGTTTTCAAGTCTGTTTCATCAGCTGTGGCACCTCCACTTGTGAGGACGTGAAGGAGGGGCCAGGTCTGCTGTGTAGGGCCCAGCAAGCCGTTGTGTAGGGCCAGTGAGCCGGAGTGCCCATTAAACCCTGGGGGATACAGAGGGAGGCCCCCAAGAGGCAGACGAAGCTTCATCTTCAACGTCCTTCACCTTCCGACCTTGAGAAGGACCCAAGGAAAATGTCCACAGGGACATGTTGTTGTGGAAAGCCTGCAAAATTAAGATAACCTATCAACTGGCAAGACAGCTTCCTGGGTATAGGGGCTTCCAATTAGTCCTGATGACGTGAGTTTGACCCCTAGAATCCACATGGTAGGAGAAAACTAACTTCTGCAAGAGGTTCTCTGTCACATGTACACACCATGGTAAACATGTACTTACAAGCTTGCATGTGTATACACACACACACACACACACACCACACGGACACTCAAAATAAACCAACTTAGATGCCCTAATTTTGTTCACTTGGAGTCTCTGTCCTTTTGCACTTAGAGTTCTCTAACGCTGGCTTCCAGTATCTCACATGTCAGATGGAGAACGATGGAGGAGTTACCCAGCATTAATCTCTGGCCTCCACATGCTTACCTTTGTACACATGCAAAACTATACACACACAAAAAAATTTAACAACAACTCTACCAGCAACCCATGCATAACATTTATGCAACACTGTCAATAATGAGTTAGGAAAAACAAAATAACTTTCCTAAGCAATTAGCAATTAAAACACAAATTTCCATATTAGAGAGAAGGCTAAATTATCTTCCTAGTCTCAGTATGAAAATATTCACCTCCTTAATTATAAATGGGTTATCCTGTTTTAAAAAATTGAATTTTAGCGAGGCAATGGTGGCACACACCTGTAATCCCAGCACAGGTAGAGCAGGTCGGTCTCTGAGTTTGAGGTCAGCCTGGTCTACAGAGTGAATTCCAGGACAGCCAAGGCTACACAGAGAAACTGTCTCATAAAACCAAAAAAAAAAAAATGCCTATTCCCTAGGATCCATTCAGCCTGGATCACCCATGGTAGAGGAAGGGAGGAAAGGAGTGAGGGGTCAACCTTTTTTTTGTTTGTTTTTTTCAGAGACAGGATTTCTCTGTGGCTTTGGAGGCTTGCGACCCCCGGAGGGGACCCCCGACCCTCGGGGATGAAGTGATGAGGGTCGCTACTTATTTGGTGGGTCTTCACGAGCAGATCTGATCTTAAAAAACAAACTTCAAGAAGTTAAGGGAAACAGGCTCAAGACAACTTTTGCTGATCAAGAGCATTTATTCTTGGGGGTGAAATGGTTTTTATAGGGAGAGCATCTCAGGGGGCGGTACAAGCATGTCAACCAAGTCTCAACTCAAATATACACCAAATAAGGTAAAGACGAAGCTGTAATTTTCCATCAGTTGCATTCCACAAATGCTTGTCATCGTAAGCCAGGTGTAGGAAATAGGGAGGGGTAAAAAGCATCCAAAGGAACACACTAACCTTTTGTTAACAAAGACAATTGCTCTATAAGGGTTACTTCCGCCTATCATTATGGTAAAAGCATCCAAAGGAACACATTAACCCTTTGCCAACGAAGGCAATTGTTCTATAAGGGTTACTTCCCCCTGGCTAGGCTGGTGGGCTGCCCTGTGTAAATTTAACTTTTGTGGTTAGCTATTTCCTTTGTCTTGAGGGCATGTGTGCCTGCAGTCACGTAGGCAGAAGGCCAAGAAATGGCTGACAGACTCCATTTTGTTCAAGGTTCTTAGCAGTCCCCAACAGAGGCTGTCCTGGAACTAGCTCTTGTAGACCAGGCTGGCCTCAAACTCACAGAGATCTGCCTGCCTCTGCCTCCCCAGTGCAGGGATTAAAGGCGTGCGCTACCACCACCCGGCTACCCTTACTCTTGTTCCAGGGACCTTGGAGCCGCTTGGGCACCACAGACGTCTGAAGTTGCCACACAAAGGCAGCTAGGGATACCTGAGGAGCCCTAGGTTGGGACTCTAGGGGCCTGAGCTGGGAGTGAGGATGGGGCTAGAGTTGGGAGGCTGGGTAGGAGTCAAGGATCTAAGTAGTGGCGACCTGGGGGGAGAGACTTGAAAAGCTGTAGAAGGAGCCAGAGCCAGCTGCTTCCTGGGGGTGAGTCCTGGGTCATTCATCCACCTCCCTGAGATGAGACAAGGACAGGCAGGAAATAAGGGAGCAGATACTACAATACTGAGAGGACAGCGGTGCCCGGGACTACCTGCCCACCTAGCCTGCGTAGCACGGCTTCCACAAGCGCTCCCGCTAAGAGTGGAAGGGTCTAGACAGTCCTACAGATACACAGGCTGCTGCCCCAGCATGGGACCTTAGGCACCATTTCCCACCCCAGCTGACGATCAGAAAAAGAGAAGCACATGTTGGGTCACCCAGACTGGGTGGGAGTCTCTTTTATTTGAGTTTGTTGCTGGGAAGCCAGGCGCTGCAGGTGGCCCTCAATGTGGAGCAGGATGGCGTCCAGCATGTGAAGAACCCTGAGGACCAGGGTGCGGTCCGAGACAGCCGCCTGCCGTTTCCAGTGCCTGCAGGTGCTGGGAGTCACCTGGGGGAGCTGAGAGCATAAATAAGATCAGAGTGGGGGTGGGGCAGGGCCAGCGGTGGGGCCATGGAGCCAGAGAGAAGGGATATGGGGTAGTGACACAGGCTGGGAGACAGGGAAATGAGTCACCGCGGACTAGGGGCTAGGTGGTCCTGGGGCCCATGGGGGTTGAATGAAGAATGGGAGTATTAAATGGGGGCAGTTGGGTCCAGAGTACTAGCCTTGAGGAATGGCTAGGGATGGATTGGGTGTAGACAAGGGTTCCATAGAAATCCAAGAATAGGACATAGGGGTGAGGACAAGGTCAGGCAGGAGGCCTAGAAAGCCCTAAGCCAGGCGGTAGGAGGACATGGGTCTATGGGGCATGAACAGAAGCAGGGGACCATAGGGGACAGAAGAGAGCTGTTCTCACCTGACCCTTGGCAACCTGGGAACGCCACCGGTGCAACATCACACGACTGATGACCAGCATCATGGTGGTTGTGATGGTGATCCCAGCCACGGGGTAGATGCGATTTCCTCCCAGGGTCATCCAGTAACCAGGGCAGCCCAGACTGCTCCTGCAGCCATCCAGGCTGTTCGGTTGGCAGCCCCAGGGCTGCAAGTCCAGCCCCACTTGGTACCAGAGGGGCCGTGACCAGGCATGGCTAGGGACAGGCATCACCAGCAGGGACAGTGATGGCACTAAGAACAGTGAGTACAGCATGGCTGTGGTCAATGTGAGAGGCCGGAACCCAGTACCTTAGCAACCGGCAAACACCCCTCCCCCAAGGGTGGCCCCCCTCTGAGGCAGCAAGGTTCCAGCTAGGCCCAGCCTTTCACAGTATAGTTGGACCAGACCATGGGATGCGGGGGCTGAGAAAATGATGCCGTTCTACAGCCTGGATCCCATTCTTCATGGTGGACCAGGTATGAAAGGAACACCTCTTACATGCTGGCTTCCAACCCATCTGTCATCCCTCCCTAATCTAAGCACCCCAATGCCTATGCCTTTAAGGGTCAGTGTTCTCTCCTGGGCTAGCAACTGCCAGGCTAGTAAAACAGTACAGGGGTGCTACCCGGCAGTTGCCCATACCCGGCCCAGCCCCTCGCAGCATTGAATAAGCTTCCTCAAAGGTCCCTGCTGACTGCTGCTCTGCCTCCCCCAGGCCTCCCTCAACACTCTTCCTTGTTCTGGGAGCACAGTTTCCCTTCTAGAAAATCACCTTCTCAGCCGGGCGTTGGTGGCGAACGCCTTTAATCCCAGCACTTGGGAGGCAGAGGCAGGCAGATCTCTGTGAGTTCGAGGCCAGCCTGGTCTACAGAGTGAGTTCCAGGACAGCCTCCAAAGCCACAAAGAAACCCTGTCTCGAAAAACCAAAAAAAAAGAAAAAAAAAGAAAATCACCTTCTCAAAGATGGAGCTTCACACACTGCCAGCACCGCTCCCAGGATTACCTAGGGTCATTTTTCTCTAATGTGGTCCTACATTATCTTCTTTCAAGCATTTCTGGCTATATTCACCTTTAAACTATAAGAACACACCAGCTTCCTCCTGGCACCCACTAAGGCCAGCCTGACAAGTTCCTGTTTGAAGTCTGCCTCTGGCTCCAAGTCTTCATTCACACAATATTTACTGAGCACCCAAGCCCGGGGCCAGAATGCAACGCAACAGACAAAAAGCTCCGCCTTCCCTGGCTAAGGGTTTGGCGGGAGCAGAGACAGCTGGTAAACACTATGGTGCCAGGCATGGGCAAATGTCGTGATAAAAGCAGGGACAGGCAAGGATGCCTGGGTGATTTGGAGGGCAGGGAGCCTTGGTCTACTGTTGGGAACTTGCCCAGTGCCTAGCCCTCAGCTTGGCACCTGGAGCGTAAATGATGAATAGTGAAATTCATGTGTTCTGGGCAAGTGATATGGGTATTGCATTGTTCTAGCCATTTCCATGGGCCTGCTTGGTTAACTCACCAGGCAACTCAGTAGGCTGTTGTTGCCACCGTGATTAGGAGCCCACTGCCCATCCTTCCCACCGAGGATCGGCAGCCCATAGGACCAACACATGCTGTTGTCGTCTTATGCCAGAATCAGCCGGTTCTTGACTCATGGTGTTCTGCCAGTCCCAGTGCTCTAATTCTATGAGCAGGCAATTCCTAACACTACTTTTTAAATTCCCAGCAGCCCCTGGGAATGGCTTTGTTCTCTAGCTGGGGGCTTAGGGGCTCACTCTACATCCCCGGAAGCACCGACTCTGCCTTGCCTCTTACCAGGTTATCTCTGAGAATGGCTTAGTCCTGAGCTGTGGGGTTTGTTTGTTTGCTTTTTGTTTTTTGTTTTTCGAGACAGGCTTTCTCTGTATTGTTTTGGAGGCTGTCCTGGGACTCGCTCTGTAGACAAGGCTGACCTCGAACTCACAGAGATCCGCCTGCCTCTGCCTCCCGAGTGCTGGGATTAAAGGCGTGAGCCACTATCACCACTCGGCCTGAGCTACAGATTTGATTCCATTTATTTTTTCCATTTAGAACTAAAGGGCTATGTGTGTGAGACTGAAGAGAACTCTGAGCTTATAAAATCCCAACCAGCCTGGGCCCCACAGTGGCCCCGCTCCTCATGCTCTCTCTCTGCCTAGCCCTGAGCTCCCTGACACTCACACCCCAGTTATGTCTACCTTATGGATTATAAGACAGCTGGGGAGTCTGAGTTGAGGACAATGCCCCAGCCACATCATGACCACGCCACAGCAGAGCCTGAAGTTGGACAGACACATTTATTCCCAGAGCTGTGAATTCATCAGCTCCCTTCCAGCACCCAGCCAAGGCCAGCCTGACTGCAATACTCTGCCCTGGGCCTGTAGCACTGAGCTCAGAGTCCCAAGGCATCCACCCATGAGTTATATGTGCATGTACATGGAATGGAGTCCTGGGTGGCACCAGGAGGTGACCCAGAGGCAGGAGTCTCATGAGGGTGACCTGTCACAACCTCCAGAGGTAGGCAGTCTCCAGCAGCAGAGTCAGAGTTTGGTGGCCTGTGTGGGCAGGAGAGGAAGTTCCAGTTAGTTTCCAAAGGACATATGTGAATTCCTGCTCCTGAGACAGCACCCCTCACCCCCCCACACAAACAACTTTCTCCCAGGGAGGAGGGTTCAGTGTGGGCCAGAGCCCTGGGCAATGGCACAGACTTTCTGGAGTTGGGGTCAGGATAGGGATAAGCAACAGATTAACAAAACTGCTCAGTGGGCCAGAGTCAGCTTACCGAAGCAGGGTTCTTAGGGCCAGACTTCCGGTGGTGGAGGGCAAAGGTCACAGCGTCATGGACAGAGACAAAAAGATGCTGCTTAGTGATATCGTCACCAAAGAACTGTCCGGCCTCAAGCTGGGTTATCACAGGACCTGTGGGCAAGAGGAGGTCCTGACACTCGGTACATCAGGAGACCCAGTCCCCAGGCACCCCGAGAATTCTGACCTCTGCTACCCCTGGGGCTACTTACAGCTAGAAACCCAGTCACTAATATGTCTGTGTGTGTATGCCTATATGCCTATGTCTATGTGTTTGTGTGTTTATGTCTGTGTGTGTGTATGTCTGTGTGTGTGTCTGTGTGTGTATGTCTGTGTATGTACGTGTGTGTGTGTATGTGAGTGTGTGTGTGTGTGTGTGTGTGTTGCTTACACCCAGAGGACACAGCAGGGCATCAGATGTTCTGTTCTTATGACTGTCAACCTTATTCCCTTGAGTCAGGGTCTATTTTTTTTTCTGGGTTTTTCAAGACAGGGTTTCTCTGTATTGTTTTGGAGGCTGTCCTGGAACTAGCTCTTGTAGAGCAGCTTAGTCTTGAACTCACAAAGATCTGCCTGCCTCTGCTTCCCGAGTGCTGGAATTAAAGGCGTGCGCCACCACCACTCGGCGAGTCAGGGTTTCTAACTAAACCCGACACTTTATCTTGGCTAGACTGGCTAACCAGCTAACTCCTGGGAACCATCTGTCTCTACCCACTAAAGGCTAGCATTATAGGCATGCATAGACATATCTGGCTTATTTTACATGGTGCTGGGGAATTGAACTCAGGTCCTCATATGTGGCAGCACTAAGGCATCTGAGCTCAGCACTTATCCACCAAGCCATCTCGCTAGCTCTGCTCCTGCCTCTTGATTCCTCTCTCCCAAGACCTGCAATTTCAGAAAAAGATTTCTTTTTCCTTGTATTATCTGACAAACTCCTTGATCAGAGTTCCAGCCTCTGCCTGGATTGATACTGCTGTTCCCACTCAACGTACTGTAACAGGCTGCGATGTACACTTCTACCTCGATCTCCCGGAAGTCACGGAAAATCTGCAGCAACAGAGAGGGCTAGCCTTAGAGAGGCAGCATTTGGGCAAGATTTAGTGGCGGACCTCAGAGGGTTGGTTTGGGGTGCAGAAGGCTCAAGGCAAGTGGTGGGGTCAGCATGAAGGCTGGAGGGTCCCAGCCTGCCCAAAGCCCCTTACATTCTTCAGGGTCTTAATGCACACGGTGTCCACAAAGGAGAGAGTACTCAGGTCTAGGATGAGGGTATGGAAGCCTGGCTGGGGCAGGCCCAGCGACTTGAGTGTGTTCACAGTTGGGGCCTTGACATCTTCTTGACTGCTGGTGACTGCATCCTCCAGCTCCTCCCTCTGGTGCACCTGCAGGGGACCCAAACGTACTAAAGGACCATCCATGATAGAATACACAGTATACAGGGACACAGAGAGTCAGACCAAAACTATGAATGCATGTAAAAATACTGAGATATGAAGATGTGTGGGGACACATAAGGACATAGACTGACTGATAGGAGAGACACGTGGATCTATAAACACAGGAAGGACATGTAGGGACACAGGAACGCATACTCCAACATGCACAAACTGCTTTGTTACTTCCTAGGCCAAAGCTTAATAAAGAAACAAGAAGGAAGCCAGGCGTTGGTGGCGCACGCCTTTAACTCCAGCACTCAGGAGGCAGAGGCAGGTGGATCTCTGTGAGTTCCAGGCCGGCCTGGTCTACAGAGCAAGTTCCAGGACAGCCTCCAAAACAGTACAGAGAAACCCTGTCTCAAAAAAACAACCAAAACAAAAGAAACAAGAAGGGAGTGTTCTGGGAGATCACTTCCCATCCTTAGCCAAACAGGGTAGAGTGGATAGGGGGCTAAGGACAGACAAGATGGCCGCAGGCCCTCATGTACCCACACTCATCATACACACCTTAAACCACAGGCCTTCATGTACCCACACTCATCATACACGCCTTAAACCACAGGCCTTCATGTACCCACATTTATCATACACACCCTAAACCACAGGCTTACATGTACCCACACTTATCATACACGCCTTAAACCCTGATCTATGGGAATCTTTGGTTGAGCTTGGCATCCCTCTTGACCCCTAGATTTTCCCCATGTTCCCAAGCCCTCTCCTCTATCCATAGGCACAGACTGGTGTCTTGTTACATCTATAAATTCAAGGTCTTCATCGAGGTCAGTCTGAGATTATTGAGAAGGGCCAGAGGAGAATTTGGAGTCGCAGGGTCTTCCTGAAGTGTCTGAGCTAACATCTCATTCCCCCATCATTAGTCCAACGCCTTCCCACCCACACTAGCAGGTCACAGCTCTTCTCATGCCACATGTGTGGGCATCTTTGCAGGTCTTGGCTGCTCCCCTCTCCCATTTGGAGCCTCACCTTGGCCTCAGCGCCCTCCACGTCATTGCTTTTGATGTCTTCGAAGGTGGTGTTGACATTGACTGAAACTGAGGAGATCTTGGAAGAGGCACCCTAGGAGGGACAAGGGATGATGAGAAAGATGTCCCGAGTGCCATATGACAACCAGGCCAGGAAAACCAGGCCAGGAAGACCTGGTCCTGCCCCGGCACTGGGCAAAGAGCCACAACAGGACCTAGGCTGCAGGCCCAAGACGGTTTAACAATGAGAGGGGCCTGCTGTGGTTCACGCTGTGGTCAATACAGGAGAAGCAGTATCGTCTCTAGAGCTTGTCCTGCCCTGCCCGGGGCTGAAACAGGGTCCCTGGAGTGCTGAGGAAGACGGGAGGGACACAGTGATGGGAAGAGAAACAAAGGGGTGAGAAAACGGGACAAGGACCAGACTGGGAGAAAGGCCAAAGCATCATGGATGGCTGGGGGTCAGGGGTCAGGGTGGGGAGCACAGCAGAGCTGGAGGGAACGCTGAGGGGAACCCCACCTGCTTCTGGGACGTCGTGGTTTTCTTCATCCGCTTCATCTTCATTTCCTGCTTTTTGATTCGCTTCTTTTTCTGGGTGATGAGGTGGTCAACATCCACACCGCACTAGAAACG